TACGACTACGACTTACGACTACTACTACTACTACTACTACTACTTCTTCTTCTACTACTACTACTACTACCACTACTACTGCTACTACTACTAATAATCAAAGAGCGTCGCTGTAGCTGGGAATAGCAATTTAACTGTAATAGTAAAAACAGCAAAGAACAATCATAGTTATAGCAACAATATATATATATATATATATATATTAAAAAGAAAAATATTGACATACTTGCAATAACATGAATTGTTATTCTTAGTGCTCGTATTACGAGTATAACTATTTGTCAAATATGATTTCCGGCCAAGCGGACGTAGTCACCTGCAACTTTTGCAGAACAATGGTCTATCGATATTCTCGCAACAAAAACGACATTCGAACTACTGAACCTTCGCCTCCTTAGCCTTGTCTGCGACAAGACCCCTAAGCTCGAAATCCTCACTCACGACCCAAGACGTGTAGGAACTTCGTTCCCAAATGTTTTTTGTTGGGTTCTGCCAGCCGAAGAAGGCCTGCCAAAATGCAGGTCGTTCCGAGGTGTTCTTTGTGGGGATCTGCCATGGGAACGAGGGCTTGGAACATGCAAGCGAAAAGACACGACCCAGAACAAACACAAAAACAAAAAACAAACCTCACATAAATGCCCGGCAACTAAAATCTTCCGCATGCCATGTATACAACCCGCGTTGTTGTCTCTGTATGGTCTCTCCGTCCTCGGTTGCAGCTCGTCGGCGTGCGCACCAGTTGCACGATTGCCGATCTTCAGCCGCCGCCTCCGATTCCTGCATTGCGAGAATGTCGTGCTTCCACGAAGCCTTTCGAGTTTGCTAACTTCATAGCCTAGTAGGATGTTAGTGCAAGCAAGTTTGATAGCGAAGGCCTGCATTGGCTGGCAAAACTGGCCACAAAAAGCTCTTGCTGCGCTCTGGCCGTCAACAGGACGCAGGGGCATCGGTCGTGAAACAGAACAGCGAGCAAGAAACCTTCTGCGAAAGGACCTTCATCCTCTATGGACTAAACCTCCTCTTGAGTTGTACCTTCACCATTCAGAAAGCTACGCAGCTTGCTCTCAGAGTCTTGCGGTTAGCTCCCTCGGTCCTCGGTTGCAGCTCGTCGGCGTGCGCACCAGTTGCACGATGGCCGATCTTCAGCCGCCTCCGACTCCTGCACACTTGTTCATTGCGCACGACATACTTCCACGAGACCCTCCCGCGCAAACTCTTGTTTCAAGTGTTATAATTCTATATCCCAGCAGGATGTTAGTGCAGGCAGCAGTGCTGGCACCGACCTGCTGTGGCTGGCAAAACTGGCCGAAAAAGTCTTTGCTGCGCTCTGGCCATCAACGCAGGAAGCAAGGGCGTCGGTCGTGCAACAGAACAGCGAGCAAGAAACCGTCCGCGAAAGGACCTTGTCACTTTCACCATTCAGGAAACTACCGCGCTTGCTCTCGGAGTCTCGCGGTTGGCTCCCTCGGTCCTCGGTTGTAGTTCGTCGGCGTGCGCACCAATTGCACGATTGCCGATCTTCAGCCGCCGCCGATTCCTGCACACATGTCAAATGCGAATGTCATACTTCCACGAGAACCTCCTACGCTCCTGTTTTCAGATGACAGCCCAGTAGGATGCTAGTGCAAAGCAGCTATGCTGGCAACGACCTGTGCGCTGGCTGGCAAAACAGGCCGGAATAGTCTTTGCTGCGCTCTGGCCATCAACAGGGGGCAAGGGCGTCGGTCGTGCACCAGAACAGCGAGCAAAAAACCTTCATCCTCATGGGTTCAACCTCCTTTTCATGAGTTGTACTGTCACCATTCAGACAACTACCCAGATTGCTCTCGGAGTCTTGCGGTTAGCTCCCTCGGTCCTCGGTTGCGGCTTGTCGGCGTGCGCACCAGTTGCACGATTGCCGATCTTCAGCCGCCTCCGACTCCTGCACACTTGTTCATTGCGCACGACATACTTCCACGAGACCCTCCCGCGAAAACTCCTGTTTCAAGTGTTATAATTCTATATCCCAGCAGGATGTTAGTGCAAGCAGCAGTGCTGGCAACGACCTGCTGTGGCTGGCAAAACTGGCCGAAAAAGTCTTTGCTGCGCTCTGGCCATCAACACAGGAAGCAAGGGCGTCGGTCGTGCAACAGAACAGCGAGCAAGAAACCGTCCGCGAAAGGACCTTGTCACTTTCACCATTCAGGAAACTACCGCGCTTGCTCTCGGAGTCTCGCGGTTGGCTCCCTCGGTCCTCGGTCGTAGCTCGTCGGCGTGCGCACCAATTGCACGATTGCCGATCTTCAGCCGCCGCCGATTCCTGCCCACAATTCTCTACATCGTACTTCTCAGACACAACGAGACCCTTACACGCAAACTTCGCTTTCAAGGAACCCGCCCAGTATGCTAGCACAAGCATGTTTAACGGCACCGCTATGGGTGCGGCGAAGCTACAACGTGAAGCACGGGCTTCGTCGGATAGCGAGCAAAAGCTCGAATGCATAATCCAGCGGCCCTCCCGAACTAAACCTGCCACATGAGTACGAAGCTAACCATCTGGTTCTCACGGTCTGGCCTCTCCGTCCTCGGTTGCAGCTCGTCGGCGTGCACACCAAATGCACGATCGCCGATCCTCAGCCGCCTCCGATTCCTGCATGCTTGTCCGAGCAAGCTACCGCTTCAAGGCCAAAATGGGTGCGGCAAATCCAGCCGAAACCGTCTCGACATGAGGCTGGGCCATCGGTCGGGCAACAGGAGAGTGCACGTCTGAATGACCACTCCGTCCTCATTAGCTAATCCTTCTACATGTTATATGCCGTTTTACCCCGTTTGTTATGTGGCGGGTCTCTCCGTCCTCGGTTGCTGATCGTCGGCGTGTGCACCAACTGCACGATTGCCGATGTTCAGCCGCCTCCGACTCCTGCACAATTGTCAAGTAAACACGTCCAATATGCAAGTGCAAGCAGCCATGCTGGCAGCGACATGGGCGTGGCGAAACTAGTGCAAAAGTCTTTGCTTCGCTCTGGCCGCCAACATGAAGCAGGGGTGTCGGTCGTGCAACAGAGGATCGGGCAAGAAACCTTCTCTGAAAGGACATGTCATCCTCATGAACTTAACCTCCTACATTGCTTATATACTGCAATTCATACCCAGCTTCTTGTCTCAGTCTGGTGTGTCTGTCCTCGGTTGCAGGTCGTCGGCGTAAGCACCAATTGCCTGGCTGACGATCTTCAGCCGCTTCCAATTCCTGCAAGCTGCTTCCATTCCTAAAGAATAATTGGCCCAAAGGGTCCAAGTACCATTATAGTAGGTACTTAGTAGGTATTTGGGCCCCAAAAGTATATACTATACTAGTACTTGGACCCTGAGGGTGGGAGGGTTCGTATTGGTAATTGCGTACTTGGGTCTCTTTTCCGGAATCGAAAGAAAAACCTACTTCATATCAGTTTTCATTGTCACCGAGGGCTTAGGGTGACGTTCTCAAGAATGGTGAGGGTTTGGGCGGTAGGGATCATCTCTTTTCCGGTCTGCCCTCCTGACCCCCTCTCAGGGGATATTGCAGCTGCTCAGTGCTATTAAGCAGACGGTCAAAGGATTAAAGAAGATGAGCCCTGCCGTGGCCAGTGTGGACAGCTGAAACCATGTGTACCAAATGCAGGATTGCAAAAGCAAGTCGGAACAAAGAGAGAGAGAGAGAGAGAGTTCGTATATGCATATACATATATGCATATGCATATACATATACATATACATATACATATATATATATATATATATGGGCGCACCCCTATTTGGGGTCCCCTGCATTTTTCGCTATGCCATCTGACTCGGTTATAACCACCCGACTAGGTTAGGACCAGCCGACTAGGTTATAATGTATCATATTTATATTCCAACATCTTCAAATAGTTCTAAGGTGCCCGCAGCATTACACCACAAAGTAGCGTTCACTTCTATTCCTGAGTAATGTATTCAAGGTCAGGTTTAGCCGCTTAGCGTGTGCATAGTCAGACGTCAACGGGTACGGCGCCGCGGTATTGATTGGCTATGTATTCAATCTTCTTCCCACAACAGCTATCACAGGCAGGAATCACCGTAAATACCGTGTATTTTTCATTTTTTCAGACCAAGTCTTGGGGTAGGCCGCCGTATAGAGTCGACACTTCCCTCACGGAGTCATATATCTTATCCCTTCAAAACTTTTCGTCCTATCAGGCCAACCCACCCAAGACTAGAACTCAAAGGATCATCTGCTTTGGCATGCAATGCTGAGAACATGTACGTACTGAATGAGCGTATTTATTTTGCAAAGTGCGTAGGGTTCTAAGCAGGTGTTTAGACCAGTGCTTCGTTGCTGCATGTCAAAAGTTATGAGTAAGTTGAATATATGTATCCGCATGTGTGACAGTCAAAAGAGTCAAGGAATACAAAGATATAAAAAGCTGGCCATGGTTAAGAAGTTTGTTACTTGTCTTAGCGGACTCAGATCCTGCTTGTGCGCATGTTCATGTCCTGCTAGCTGCGATCGGCCCTTAACTTCGACTATTATAGTCACAGTCTACAATCCAAAATACCAAGTATCTGGATCAGTATGAATGCGGACATCTGGTGGGCGGGCAGCTGCGGCTGAAGCCGCAACCTCGCTAGGGGAATGTTAGATCTCCACAAATCCTTGTGGTCCAGGCCCTGGCATGATTTTGCATGGCCTCCATTTCCACAAGTATCCGTATCAGAAGCTTTTTCGGTTTGATATACAATCCCTTCATATCCCTCTAGTCCTCTATTAAGGTTATAATTGTGGCGAAGGCCTCCATCTCCAAGTATCCGTGTCAGAAATCCTTTTGGTTTGATATACAATCCCTTCATATCCCTCCGGTCCTGTACTATGGTTGTAATGGTGGCGACGACTGGAACCCTGAGCTATCTAGCAACAGCACTTGTGTACACGGGAAGACAGGTGTACGCAGATATGCACCATCTCCCACATAAGCAACCCATGTGTTTATGGACAACGCACGTGTTTATAAACAAAGCCAGCTGTTTATAATAAACGGCGGACCACATATCATTATCATGTTTCACATAAGCAGAAACTCCGTAAATGCCACTGTTTTTGTAGCTTTCTCAGTCAATCAAGGTCTCGGCCTAAACCACACAAGCCGGCACATGGAGAAAATCCTATGTGTCAGTGTGTCCCTCTGCAAAATTTGCAGCAAGCACGCCTGCCCCCCCCCCTCCCTCCCCCTTCCCCTCCCTCCGACATAATACCATAATACAATGAATACGAACATTTTGACAACGAGCACGTATCAGACGAGAGTTAACCATCTGGCTTCATTGCTTCATTAAGCATAAAGAGTATAAGAAAGAGATCACATCACCATGAACACATCCAACAAACAACATGGTATACCGAAACGCGGTGTTTATAAACAGACCTCGTGGTTTGTAACAACTCAGAGTTGATGTTGTAGTTGGAAACGAAGACGTGCACCCACGTGCACCACTCGAAGTATTTATACAAGCATAGATGATATAAGATAAATCCCGGCGAAACCACGTAATGGTTTAACGGTTTAGGCCCAGGTGTAAAGAAACCAAGGGGACCCCTTATAGGGGGGTACCCATATATATATATATATATATATACGTACATACACACACATGTATATATATATATATATAT